TTGTTCATTACTGAGGTCGAGTGAAAGACTGGAAAATGAGAGAAAAGAATCAAAGACGCAAAACTGGAGGGTAAAATGGATAAAGAGACACGAAAATAGCAAAGGAAAGGTATGAACAAAGAATGTACCAAAAAGCGTGAAATGCTTAGGAAAAGAAGTGGGATAGAAATAATGAGGAATTGAAGGAAAGTGGGGATAAGTGAGGAATGGAGGAGAAAGAGGGCACAGCAAAGACAGAACTGAGTAGGGTTGAGGAGGCACTGGGCCTGGGGGATTGCTGTGCGTTTATCCTTCACTGCAGAAGGCTTCTGAAGCACTACCTCAAGAAAAGACTTAAAAGCAGGGTGGCTGCTGCTCAGCGCTGATCTGTTAATACCCAAAGATACATGAGGCTTTGCCATAGCACTCTGGGGGTGGGGTTGGAGTGGCACGGTGTGTATAAGTGAGCTTGTTAGTTTGTGTGTGTTTTTCCTTATGTGTTCCAGGATCGTATCATATCTCTGCAGAAGATATTTCATCCCCACCAATTGCTTGGCCCATCTTACCCGGAGACATGAAGTAACTGAAGTGATTAAAAGATTAGATTGGACTTCAACTGGTTGTGTGTCAACTACCAAAAACTGATTCTGCTTTAAGGGTGGAGTTTGGATGTAAGGTGCGTTAGACTATCCTGTTTTAAGATCATATATAAATAGACTCTTGTCTCCTGGGAATAAGTAGAAAAACCCTAAGAGCCTCAGTATGCAGCAAAAATATACACACTGGGAGGTAAAGAAGCTGCCTGGGATTTAAGATGGATGTTCCAGAAAAGACCCTGCCATGTGCTCTCAGGGGTTGTACATGATTAATTCAATAATGTAATCCAGGATGAAATGTGGTTATTTACAGATCTTAGATTCTTTTATATTACCTGTCCTATTTTAAAAACTGAGCTGTCCTTAATGGTAGAAAAATAACAAGATTTATTGTCTCTAGTCTTAAGCCTTTGCCAGTTTAATTAATGCTACTTTTAGATCTAAAGAATGGTACAACCTTCCTGATATTATAAGACATGTTGTTTGACCAGAAAAAAAAAAAAAATCTGTTAACTTTGTTAAGAAGAATTCATCATTAGAATGTATCAGGTATTGTAAGACACATAATTTGTCATTCTGAAAATCAAATTGATGGAACAGGGTTAAACTTAGTTTTGTACATACTTTTTGAGCGAATAGCTGCCAGGGTAGCGAGGGAGAACCCACCCCCCAAACATCAGACGTCATTTAGACAATGGTTTTTAGGCCAAATCTGGTCAATCCGTCATAGTCTTGATTTAGTGCTGAAAAAGTTGTTAAAAATTGACCAACCATTTTGTCCCACTTCAGTCCAGTTATAGATGATGAAAATGATCTGAAAATTATGGCTTTTTACCCCTCACTTTTCAACCAAGTGTAGACATCATTTGGATGTAAGCCAATTGTAGCTTGGTGGGCATTGTACAACTTACACCCTGATGTTAAGAGAGGCTGAGGGTATGAATGACCGAGTACTGAATGGAGAGTAAGAACGAAAGTCAATTCTTGATAGGGAGGAATCCTCTTCCAGAATCTGGTTCATTTTGAAGATTACAGTATGTTGACTAAACTCTTCATATCCCATGAGAGAGATGGTCCTGGTGTTTAAATTAGGAGGGAAAGGTTTCAGTTCAGCTGATGTTTAAGGGTGGCTGACTGGTGCGGTTGTATGGCAGGTGGGATACAATTGCAGTGCCCATATGCATGTCACCTTGTTGTGTGGGTTTGCCTTGACCCTGCACATGGCCTATGCCTGCAGTCGGAGGGGACACTGAGGGGTGTCTGGTACCTGAGCCAAGTATGGCTGGCATGCCATACTTGACACTTGCATACGTCCGTATGGGTGTAAGGGTGGGATGTGTGACTGTGACTGGATGAATGTAAAGTTGTCTCTGTCTACTTGTCAGGGTGGGCGTTTGCCTCCCCTGTCCCACCTAGTGAACATCCTAGGCCACAAGTATGAGCAGGGCCTGCCTCCTTCCACTTTTTATGCTCCCCACCAGTGACAGGTGCCTGTGTCTGCTCACTCCCTAAAGATTCTCTAGGTGATAGGGTACTTCAATGGGTGCTGTCTCATTCCTGTTGTCTGCCGTGCCAGACCTAGGCCTCTGGCACTGTGTGGTCCCCACTGGGGGCTCGACCTTTTTCAGGTCCACTCTCTTTCTTTCTCCTATCCCTTTCCATCTTCCATCTCTAAATAACTTTCAATAAAGGTTTATATACAAGTATGAAGTGGAGCCTTATTTTTTTATTATTGTCTTTTTCATGGCAGTCATAATAGTCACCTTTTGAAAGCAAAGCTGTTGGGCTTTCATCTAGCTGTGGGACATCTATTCCTAGAGCTATATTGACAAAACAGGACACACAAAAAACAAAAATAAATAAATAAAAAGACATTGCTTTACATAACAATATTACCAGATAACTATGGATGTGGCATAATATTCTCCAGCTTAATAAAGAAAACTATTCAGGCAATAAGCTTTGCACCAAAGGAGGAGAGATCCAGAATTAGCCCACAGCTTCAGCTACTACAGCTAAAAACCACCGAATATGGCTGAAATGTTGCTGTCACGATAGACTTAGATCTGATCAAGTAGGACCCAGAAAAACTCGTTTTTGCTTTTATCTTTTGTAGAATTGATTGCTGTTACAGTGTCTTCATGGGTTTGCCTAAAAAGTCCATCAGAGAACTACAGGTAATCCAAAACTATGCTTCCCCTGTTCTCCCTAGAACTAAGAAAGAAGAATGCATCAGCCTTGTTCTGAAGTCCTTACACTGGCTCCCATAGTTCATATCCTATAGCTCATATCTCACTTAATAGATCTGTACCTAAATACATTTTAGATTTGAACACTTATGTCTTCCAGTTCAAGCCTACTTTTTACATGCAGAGTTAGAATCAAGTATGGTGAAGTATCATTTATTTCATATACTCAATTACGTGCATCTTGAACAAACTTCCAGAAGACTGTAAAAGTGCTCCAGTACTTTCAAGTCAAAGTTAAAAACAATTTGTATAGAAATGCCTTTGACTGATGTACCATTAGTTTAAATTTGTGCTCCAACTGTTACATTTGTTTTACTATCTAATTCTATCATGCTTTTATCTTTACTTCCTTAATTCTGCTTTTATTTCATTTTATTGTTTAACTCATTGTTATTTAACTTATGGACTGGGGTTTAAGACCACTGGTTTTATTCAAATCAGCCAGAAAGTGCTTTGCATTAATTCTGAGGATCTACTGGAGAAAGAAAAAAAATGTTTTTCTCAGGCTACAATATAAAAGCATTTTTAAAAATAATATGTTTTTAATTTTTCCTAAATCCTATATATATATATTTTTTTGCTAATGGCTGCAGCTTTTTGATTTGTTGGTTGTTATTTGTATCGCTCCAAATATAGCAGTCAGGAGTTGCACGAAAAAGCCTTGTATAGGATGGCTGATGGTGTGTCACTTGTAAGTTGTCGCTTTTCTTCTGAACAGGAATGTTAAATGTTTGCTACCATCAGTGACCTGGCAACTGGTTGGCAAACAGTGCAGGAATGAGACCAGGCAAGTACAAGTAACCTATTTACTAGCCAGAAGGAGTTAAATTTGTAGCTGTTGCTTTTATATAAGAGTTTGTGAGATTTAAGTGAGCTCCACACTTGCTGCATACACAAATTGGTTACTGTCTGGTCAAATTCGTTGCATAAAAATGTATATTTGCTTTGTAATCAGAGAATTGAAAGCGTAAACACAAACGATTATAGACACTGTCCTGTGTTTAGGAAAAATGTCCTTATGCCTAGACTTATTTTGTAACCTCAACTATCACTGGGAATCTTCCATATTCTTTTAATGTGGTACGCCAATGATCATATTCCCTATAGAACATGTTCCTAGGTTTCTGTTATGCTATGATTTACTTCATTGTTTAACAGGCCATAACATTATTGGTGAACCCAGCAGCCTCAGTGTTATCATTGTCTTTATTGTCGATACTTGACCTGGTTGTTTGAGGCTATAAATGACCACGCTCTCTACATAATAGCATTCTGGAAACAATTTAATTTACAGTGATCTCAAAAGATTTTTATTCTGTTATGTAAAAAGAAAAGGCAAAAAACTCTTTAATTTCTTCTTGGACTCATATGACTGTTCATAAAATAGCATGTATTTATGTTTATTTATTTTTCTAATCAGCAAAGTAATCCTGATGATCTTTATACTCCACAACCGTTATGTTATTTTATAATGGGCAATTGTCCTTTATTAGGAATTTGCATGCTAAAACAACATTAAAAGGACCTTTATTCTAGCTAATCAGGACATTCCTTTATGTCCCACTGAATTACAAGGCCTAAAATCCTGAGTTCCATGTGCTTAAACAGTTTCTGTTTGACTCAAAACATAACTGAGAAACAGGGAGTTTTTTTTTTTTTTTTAACACAATTATTCTGACAAAGTTTGTGTGCTCGGACTCTATTTAGATATAAATTAACAGTCAGACTGCTACAATGCCATCTCAAGGGATCGCTAGTATAAGGGTGTGTTAGGGCTGCGAAGATGAAGCAGGTAATTAAATAAAGATTGCAGACTCCACCTCTTCTTTATTCTCATCCTTCCTGAAGCATACCTCTGTCTACCTTGTATTGCAGGAGGAAAGCAGTTAAGGATATTGTTTGTTTTAAACCACTTTACAGGCCACCAAATAACTCACTCTTATTTTCTCTTGACTGATCGAAAGTCTTTTTTTCCCCCACCTATTTTATTATACCTTTTCATCCAACCATTTTTCTACACATTCCATTAGCAGATTGCCTCCCCTCCTTTCCCTCCTCCAACCACTCACCCGCCCCTTAACACTTCCATTAAAAACTAACTTGGGAATTTATACAGTTTATCTGAGAAAAATTAAAGAAGTTTCCCCTCAGGTATGTTTTGTTTATCTCTTTTTAGACTTGACAGAGTGTTGGAGCAGGAGTAATTCTGAATGGCAATGTAGAGGCATACTGAAGGACCTGAGAGCCATCACTCAGGCAGAGTGGCAGCAAGGTCATTGGGCTAAGGAACGGTGAGTCTGTTGTTTGCATACACCACTGTCAGTTGAGTACTTTGGGGAAAAAGGTGACAGGAAAACCATTACTAATCTAACTTGCAGATTATCGATCTCTATTTAGCTGTTCTATAGTTCCATGCATGATTTGCCCTCTGAAAAATAAGAGCATTGTAATTTTGCTGTTTAATTGTTCAGTTGGCGCAACAAATTTTACACTTTTTTATTATGTATCACACAGAACAGGGTGATAGGCTCTAAGATTGCATGTCCAATTTCAGAAATCTGGAACTAATACAACTAAACTAAACAAAATACAATATGTTGAAATATAACATTCTCTTTAAGGTGTTTAAGATTTACTTGCAGTCAAGTCTGGGGAGAGTTTAATTGCAGCATTTGATTGCATTCACAACGTATTTATATGACAGCATTACATCCTAGGTAATCAATTCTCAATTGCCATCATAGAATAAGCCAGTTTGTGAGGCAGGCAAGGCAAAATATATGTGGGGCGGCATAAGGGGTGGTGTTTATGAGTGTGTTTGGATGTGAGGCCAATGATTTGTCACATCTTTGTGAAATGTAAGGCCAATTTACCTGGGATACAATACGTTGTGGGGGCCAGTCGACTGGTCATAACTTAGCAGGGTGCTTTGTAATCTTGTACCATTTTTCTTTCTTTTTTTTTTTTTTTTTTGACAAAAATCCAAATTTGTTAGAAGATCAATTAATTTATCAATCTAAAATAACAACCCCTATAGGCTAATCAATGTCTATTTCATGTGTTCTTTTTTGTGTAGAGTTTTAACAGAACAGAACTTAAAATAACAGCATAAATACTCAGAAACTGTATTTGCTGTATAGAGTGCAATATAGAGTACACTTTTAATCACTTGCTAAATTATGCTAATTAAACAGTAGCTCTTTGCCATTTTATTCAAAGCTGGAAATTATGTTTAAAACTATTTTACTATATTTTACTATAATATTGTGAAACAAATATTAATCCTATCTCACTACTGCTCCTCAGAATTCCTTACCTATATTCGTGTCACACAACAGTATTTTATTATAATATTGTATATAAAGATAATTGTAAAGGTACAATGTAAGGCTTTAACAGGGATTCTTGTGACATAATAAATAACATTACATAAAAGAAAAAATTATTTCTAAAATTGGAATTACCACAAGGTATATTTTGTAAACTATATTTATTATTAGATCAGAGGAAAGCTGAACATCAACCTGCAAAATGCACTCTGGCATTATTATGCATTAAGGCCAGAACACACCAGAATCCAATTATGTGTCCGATCCGACAGAAAATCGTGTCGGATGAGGTTGTGGCGTTTAGTGCTCATTAAAAGTCAAGGGTGATGATCACACTGACACCATTTTTATCCAAAGGGGCTTACGTAGCTGCGACTGAGATAGCTCTGTTTTAGTCGGACTACGCAGCAATTCAGTGGCAATTTCAAGGGTCTGACAGGAAGAGAGACGTGCTTACAAAGTAAAACACTTCAACTTTATGGGGGAAATACAAAATAAAATCTGTTAATCACACAGGGAAGCCGCCAGTTTTGGAGTCACACAGTCATTTATAGTAAGCGGGACAGACTCGTGCAAAAACAATGAATGAAACACAACAAAAGAATAGTTTTCTCATGATAGGAATTCAGGAAGTCAGAAATCGGATAAAGTAGTGATCCTCTCAAAAAAAACAATGAGGGACAGGAAGCGCAGTTTATCAATCTCGAAAAAAACAAAACAAAAAAAATAAATAAATTGATATAATAAAATATTGATCCTAAAATAGGATTATTGCACTGGTTAGTAATACTCTGTGCAATAACCTGTGCAATAATCCTGTTGAAGAAGAGACTCCAGCTGTTATATACATATATATATATATATATATATATATATATATATATATATATATATATATATATATATATATATATATATATATATATATATATATATATATATATATATATATATATATATATGTGGAAGCACTGAATATACCACATGCACCTTTTCCTTCTTTTGTCTATTCACTGAAAAGTGAATCTCTCCACTGTGAGATTAATAATCAAAATCAATGTCTGTCTGTCTGTCTGTCTGTCTGTCTGTCTGTCTGTCTGTCTGTCTGTCTGTCTGTCTGTCTTTGAGCCTCAAAAAAATATAGCATATGAACATTCACTATCTGTTCTGGTTTGAGATGCTGCACAGATTCGTTAAGTGGGGCTTTGCTTTATAGCTGTGCCTGTGTTTTTGTTTTGTGTTTGTTTTTTAATAACATTTCATAATCTGTCCAAGTCAAATGTGGGAAATTGTTTTAATTTGTGTATAGCACAAAGGCAGAAGCGAAAAAAAAAATCTGCTAGTCTATACACAGTCAGTGTGAAATGGAAAAAAATTGAATCGAAGATTAAAAAGCTTGTTCGCAACGGGTGGGATCTGACCTTTAACCATAGATTAGAAGCCTTTTTTGATAGTTCAGTGGCACTAGTAAAAAAAACTAAATTGCCAGGTGTGTCAATTGGTCTGTTTGGCAACACCAAATGGTCCAATTAGATGCCTTCAATGGCTGCATGTGTATAAAGTTTACTGTGGAGAAACTTCATTTGCAAAGATAGAATCTTGGCCTAGACCTTATGAAACACCATTGTTATGAATGAAAGGGGGAGTTGCTATCCTGGTTTTCTTATCTAATTACGAAGTCATCCCTAAACTTGGCGGTAAATATTAACGAGTTAGTTAAAGCTGCTATTGTGAGAAAGGGGGTCAGAAAAAAACAACAACAATATAGATACAGTGAAGTTGATGTTTATATAAGAGAGACAGTCAAAAACTTTTAGCCATTTTGCGTATTGGAGTATGCTTCTGGGTACGGAAAACCCTGTTCTAACCAAGTTTCTTTTATTTTATTTTATCTTGGCATCCTATTTTTCAGTTTTTTTTATTTATTACTTTTATGCCTCTTCTCTGCTAAGAGTTACGCAGAAACATTTGATCTACTTTGTTGTGCTTTTCTTTTCATTGCCAGATGGCCATTTTTTTTTTTTTTCAAACCTTAAAACTTTATGTAGGTTTAAAAACAGTATAAACTTTAAAAAGAATATTCACTGATCAGGCAACTCAAAAACAGAAATTATTAAAATAAATGAGCATATAAAAAATGTAATAATTAAAAGTATTAAAACATTCATAGCTTCCAAATAAACATAGCAGCAACACAGCAAGGGAAAAAATTAAATAAACAAATTGTACCAGATCAGATACCAAAGAGGAGAGGTGGGTTTTAAAAGCATATCTAAAGATTGCAAGCAAAGGAGCTTACTTATTTGCAGTTACACAGCATTCAATATTTACTTGCAATGGCAAAACCCCAATCTCCTCGTGTTTTCATTACAAAATACATTTTGTGTATTGAATCTCTGCCAAGTAAGTAGAATTCTCCACAAGGCTTGACTTATTTTTTCAGAATATCGACAGGCCATTTGGATTATTTTAGATACACACACACACACACACACACACACACACCGAACAAGCAGCTGGGAAATATTACAACTTCCCCCACCGGATCTATCAGATTATACCATGCAGTACATTCAATTACATATGAGAGCAGATGGTGTAAACAAAATCAAACATGCATAATCTTGAGATTGGATCCTTCGGTTTTATATGAACTCTGAGTCAAAGTCCTGACATCAGACCAGACATATTAAGAGGAGTCTGTGGGGCCAGCAAGCTAACTGACTCAGGGGTTTTTAAAAGTGGAGAAATCCAGAAGAAATAGATGTATTATTCTTTACTATATTGAAAAGCAAGCAAACGTAAATATACTACACGTCCTCACTCTGTTCTTTGCTCTCTCTTTCTCTCACACACCCACACACATGCACACACATCCACAACCATCATTTTCCATGTTTTGTTTGGGACTTGTCAATGACTGCCATTCATTTGTATGGCCTATACCAGACCATTACTCTAACCAAGAAAGAAACCAGCCCAGTGACAAATTGTATAGTATCCTATTTTATCTTATCTTTTATTTTCCTTTCTTATCTTATCTTGTCTTATCAGTCACTATTTCAGCCTAGAAAACCATAAACAGTATGACTTCACCATAAGAATAACATTTATTTTACACAATGAAAAGTACTACATAAAGCTCAAAGCCCACATAATACACAGCCATTGTCTGCATTATGTGTGCAGATACAAATATAAGCACAGTATGTACATCAAGTATATCTAATACTACATATATGCACTTCAACATTAAAAGCCCATTGTCGGAGAGGCAGCATATTTTAGTCCCAGCACTCTAAAATGTCTTTTTTCTTAGTTGGACTAGCAACACTGTAGTAGTTTTTTCAACATAACAGCATTCCGATAAGCATGGAAACATCATGCAAAGATGCATTATGAGTCTTTGCAGAAACAGTAAGTTTGGCTTCAGCACCTGTTCTTTGTGTGTCTTTTATTCTAAAATGACAATAACTTGACAGGACAAAGAGTTTCATTCTCTCCTTCTTTTGTGAAGAACAAGAGTCAAAACAGCTTAGATGCAGACAGGTGGCTTAGGTCTAAAACTCATACTTAGGAGACTTTTACACCCTAACTGGCAACTCTTCTATTTAGATATACTAGTTTATCTCCAGGCCTAACAGTACAGTAGGAAAGAAGTAATTTGTGACAGAGGGCAAAGACCGCTGTACGAGTCCTTAATCCTCAACGTGGCCGACCAGGATTCGAATCCAGCCTGTGGTCCTTTGCCGCATGTCTCTCCCCCTCTCTCATATCCCTTGCGATTTAGCCCACTGTATAAACAAATTTGCCACTAGTGCCGTAAAAACCTCAAAAAAAAAGAGAAATAAGAAAAGAAATAACATTGGGTGCCAACAGGGTTTGTTTGATTTTATTTTGAAACAGGAGGGGGTGGTGGACTTTATACAGCTCTTGATGAAGTGATTGGTGGTGCAGTCACT